TTTCTCGCAACCAACATACTCATTGTATTTGGTCTTGTCGCTTTTGATCATGCATTGGCTATTTTGTTTACGTTTCCTACATTGTTTCCGACTGTTCCCGAATGTCCTTCCCCCAAAATGCTGGTGTGTGCACTTTTAACAGGCACATGCAAGTACGATAACCTTCGAATTGCAGGTATTCAAGAGGCTGCGGAGCTATTGAGACGAAAGAGCAGAAGTTTCTATATGGCAAGCTCCGTCTTTCACGGCCGCCTTCGAATTGACTTGATCCTATTGTATGTATCGCTTTCTTACAGTACTTTATTGACTTTTGCTTTAGAATTTTGCTAACTTAGATTAGATACTCTTTTTGTAGAGTTGCTGATGATCTTGTTGATGATCCAAACAACACTGATTCTGAGGCTCGGGAATGGATCGCCAAACTTACTCACTACCTTGACCTGGTGTATGCATCAAAAGAAATGGCCAATGTGGCTGCTTTGTGCCGTTCTGACATTGATAAATACATTCAAGATAGCTTTCCACCATCTTTATATCGGACACTTCGCCTTCTACCAACTCACATTCTATCTTCCAAGCCTTTGTACGAGTTACTGGAAGGATTCAAGACGGATTTAATATTTCATCAAACAAATTGTTACAGAAATACCGGTGAATCTCCTATCAGAGATGAGCATAATCTTACGATATATAGCAGACGAGTTGCTGGGACAGTAGCTGAGATGTGCTTGGAACTAGTTTTCTATCATACTTCTGCTGTTGTCTTATCACACAGACGTGACGAGCTAATTCATGCCGGGGCCCGCATGGGAATCGCTCTACAGTATATCAACATTTGTAGAGATGTAGCAACAGATGCTGAGATTGGAAGAGTCTACCTTCCAACTTCCTGGCTCGAGGAAGAAGGGATAAAACATCAGGACGTTGTGGAGAATCCTAGCGGGCCAATCATTGACAAACTGAGAGGAAGACTGTTAAAAAAGGGGTTTGCCATTTATCAGGAGGCTCGCCCTGCTATCGAACAAATCCCAGAAGATGCCAGAATGTCAATGAGAGTTGCTGTTGAAAGCTATGTTGAGATAGGAAGAGTCCTAGAAGAGAATGAGTACATAGTCACTAAAGGTCGGGCAACAGTACCGAAACTGCGGCGCATAGGAGTTGCTTGGAAGGCATTGAGGCAAGGTTGATAAGTTTTGAGATACCATTAATCTTATATAATTGTACTCCGGACACACCGGCGTGGCAATTTCAGCAATATAAACATGACTATTTTATGTCTTTTTTGTGTGCTGTAGTTTTGTTATGTAATATATCAAGTTGATGTTTTGTTCCATGCTACGAATACATATCGAGTAATTTGGCTTGGCACCTGTATCCGAGGAGTTTGAGCTCGGACTATTTCGAATGGAAATATGGCAATTGACGATGCACACTCAAAAATTGGATGACTCTTCGATCTTGCACTAAAACTATCGGAATGTACGAAGTAAAACCAAGCATTATCTCTTATCGACCCATTTCAGGTACTAGGTACGTACTACGAACCTGGATAGGTAATCACGACCTATTCATTCAACATGTGAATAATCTCGTGTTATACTGGTCTTCGTACCATATACATATTTCAATTCCGTCACCAGAAAATCGTAATGGCGATCGCAGAAACGAAGAAAACTGCCATTGTAGTTGGTGAGTTCTAATCCAATTTACCTCTGCGTTTTACCCCCCTCCCCCCTTCCCATGCACGTTATCTCAAACTCTGGTAGGTAGTTCGTGGACTAATGCTTTTGGACAATAGGTGCCGGAGTCGGTGGCATTGCAACGGCAGCACGATTGGCAAAAGCAGGCTTCTCTGTCACAGTACTCGAAAAGAATAACTTTACGGGCGGTCGATGCAGTTTAATTCATCATGATGGATATCGATTCGATCAAGGGCCTTCCCTTTTACTTCTACCAAAGATGTTCAAAGAAACATTTCATGATCTCGACACTTCACTCGAAGATGAAGGGGTAGAACTACTAAAATGCGACCCTAATTACAATTTGTGGTTTGGAGATGGAGAGAAGTTTGAACTGAGTACAGATGCGAGTGTAATGAAGCGAGAGATTGAGAAATGGGAAGGAAAGGATGGGTTTGAAAGATATCTGCAATGGCTTGGAGAAGCTCATCGACATTATGAATTGAGCGTGCGGGAGGTTTTACACAAGAACTTTACATCGATATTCAACATGCTGCAGCCTAGCTTCCTTCTCAACGTCTTTGCTCTTCATCCTTTCGAAAGTATATATTCTCGAGCTTCAAAGTACTTTTGGACGGAGAGGCTACGACGAGTTTTTACTTTCGGGAGTATGTATATGGGAATGTCTCCATTCGATGCTCCTGGCACATATTCCCTTCTTCAATATACGGAACTTGCTGAAGGCATCTGGTACCCGGTAGGTGGGTTTCATGCTGTCGTTGAGGCTCTCGTCCGCATATGCGAGAGATTAGGTGTCGATATACAACTCAATTCACCAGTTGATTCGGTATTAACGTCTCATGACGGCAAAACTACAACAGGAGTTCTTCTATCTTCCGGCAAAAAGCTTAATGCAGATCTCGTCGTTATTAATGCTGACCTCGTCTATGCCTACAATAATCTATTCCCGACCTCCAAATCCACGTCCTACGCCAAATCTTTACAAAAACGAACGGGCTCTTGTAGCTCCATTTCTTTCTACTGGGCTCTCTCCAAGCAAGTCCCTCAACTTGATACCCACAATATATTTCTCGCAGATGAATATCGTGAATCATTCGACTCTATCTTTGATAGGCAGTCCATTCCCGACGAGCCTTCGTTCTATGTGAACGTACCCTCGAGAATTGATCCAACTGCTGCCCCGACAGGTAAAGATTCCATTGTAGTGCTCGTTCCCGTTGGCCACCTTCTCAATTCGGCCACGTCCAATCGTCCTCAAGGCGATGGCTCTGCCACATCTGGTGCTGGTATTCCAAAAGAACAAGACTGGGAGTCTATCGTAAAGTCTACTCGCCGAAGAATATTACAAACGATAGAATCACGAACGAAATGCGAGCCGATTGAGTCATTGATTGTTCATGAAGAACTGAACACGCCTACATCATGGGAATCGCGTTTTAATTTGGATAAAGGATCAATCCTCGGGCTTTCTCATTCTTTCTTTAATGTCCTCGCATTTCGCCCCAAAACTAAACATCCCGAGATTAACGGTGTATATTTTGTAGGTGCATCAACGCATCCAGGAACCGGTGTACCTATAGTTCTGGGTGGGGCAAAGATTACAAGTACACAAATCTTGGATGACTTGAGGATGGAGTGTCCATGGAAAGATAAAAGCAACGTGGTTTCTGATGAGGGGGTTGTGCAAGGGAAAGGGACGAGAAACCTGGATAGAATTGTTAGACAAGGAACGATTTCAAGTAATTTTGGGATCTTCATATTGGCGTTGATGGCGCTGATATTTACGATGGGGTGCATTAATGGTAATTTGAGAGTTCAGTGGGATGGAGAGATGAAGAGAGCATGGGGAACCGAGAAAGCGTTGTAATTGCTGTCACAATTTCAGATATCCATCTTTTTGTTGTCGGATCCATTTTCAAGATCATCAAAATTGATTAATCAGTAAGTCAAGATAAGATTATGACCTGTGTAGCTTCTACTCTGTAGCGGACCGCGAAGACTAGTGTCGGTATCTAACCTGCCTCTTCCGGATGCAGAATTGTCTACTTTGTCTATAGGTCGTTGTATCACCTCGTCATCAGTTCGAATGCGAGTCAGCCCACTCAACTGCCATTCGGATTATCATTGCTTTCAGTATTTGAAAATCTGACGTCCAATTGCCTTTTGATCAGATGTTCAACCCCTCAGTTGCCAGAGAGCCCTCGGAATGCCCTTTTTCAAGGTTCATGTCAAGACATCGATCGAGTGGTTGGAGTTACACATCCGATGATACCCTTTGAAAATGATTGATTTGTTCATGTGGTGTACTGACTTTTTAATTTCGGAACCTCGGAAGGGACGGGAGCGACTTCTATTTGTTGATGTGACTTTTTTATTTTCGAACTATGAAGGTCGCATTACGATCTTGAGGAGATTGAACGATTTGTAGAAAGATATACCTACCTAGGTACCTAGGTAATAGGTATGCATGCTCTTCGATGTTTTCATAGGTCTAGAACGTTTCAGTCACAGATCAAAAACAAGCTTTGTTTTAGTGGATCTATTTTTGCGGGATGGAAAAGGAAACGATTGAGATTTACGATTTTTCCATGATGGGATTGAGTATCGAAGTCTGTGCACATGTTACGTCAAAGTCTATGACATCTCTATCCTAATCCAATCCCGACTGTCAACCGAGAATATCACTCATTCGCTAGGTAGGTAATAGGTATGTAGGAATTTTAATGGTACTCGGACCCCTGGGAAAATTTCCCTCATCTTGTCATCGTTGTTGCATTTTCAAGTCATCGAATCAATTCAAAATGGATGACACATTTGCTGCTATCATTTCCTCAAAGGGCTGTAGGTCTAGCCACTAGAAATTTCTCTAGCCGAAATAGGTGCAATTTAGTATGCATGGTTGACGACAAATTCTCGGTTCTCCCCTCGTTTTCGTGTGGGAAATATGCAGTAGAGCTATATGGCAAAGCTTTATTGTTTTCCAATCAAGCTTTTATGTGCCGATTCTTGTTTTATTGCGCGCGTCTTGTCATCTAGATTTTGAAGTCCCGATGAAATATCGATGGCAGCGTCGGCAGTTGTATGATGTCGATGTCGCTGATCATAGTATGATCGAAGATTTGACAGTTAGCTGAGTCTTGAAGTTCTTTATAAGCCGCTTCATCCAATTCGCGACTTATACATATGTATACTTCCACTCTTATATCATACTGAAAATTCTGCTTGATTCTCATATATACTTCTCTTCATATTGTTTGTTGTTGAAATAATTTCTTATTGATACCCATACATTCGATCAATATGATTGAAAAACGAGCCAATGGTGCATTGCACGCAAATCCAGATGTTTTTCACTACCCAGCAAATTCCGATATTAACATCACAACCCGTGGAAGTGATGTGTATTGGGCTATTACTGCTGCAATGGCCTTTGCAACTATAATTTTCATGGCTATGAGCTTCCGAGTCCCACGAAGCAAGCGTGTTTTCCATTACATTACTGCGGCCATTACTATGACGGCCTCGATTGCATACTTTACCATGGCATCAAATTTGGGCTACGCTTCCATCATTCAGGAATTCCAACGTAGCGATCCTAAAGTCAGTGGTGTATATCGGGAAATCTTCTACGTGAGATATATTGATTGGGTTATCACAACTCCTGTAAGATTGCCTGCTGTTGCCTTCCTATATGGTCAAGTGCTAATAATCCTTCTTTCAGCTATTACTCTTGGATATCCTCTTGACTGCAGGTCTTCCATGGCCAACGATATTGTTCACAATCTTTTTGGACGAGGTCATGATTATCACTGGCCTCGTTGGTGCTCTCGTTGCATCTTCTTATAAATGGGGATATTTCGTCTTCGCAATGGCAGCTCTCTTTGGCATTGCATGGAACATTCTCGTCGTCGGAGCCCAACACGCCAAAGCTTTAGGCACCGAAGTGAACAAAGTATACTGGACTTGTGGAGGCATCACCATGTTCCTCTGGTTCATCTACCCTATCGCCTGGGGTCTTTCCGAGGGTGGTAACGTCATTGCACCCGATTCGGAAGCAGTTTTCTACGGCGTTCTCGATGTCCTTGCCAAGATTGGCTTTGGTGCTATCTTGCTGTTTGGCCATCGTAATATCGATCCTGCGCATCTGGGTCTGCATATTAGGGATTACGATGAGCAGCCAAGTACATTCCATGATAAGGATGGTGGTCATCATAATGGTGCCCATCATGATGGTGCACGTGTGCCGGTGACGAACAATGCTGGCCATCGTGAAGGACAGAATACCCCAGCAGCCACTGCAGTTAACTCAAACCATGCGGTGAATGATCCGGCATTCAATAGCACGGGTACTGTTCCCGTTAACTCTTCTGTTGTCTAAACTACGAGCTTTTGCTTGCCTGGATAATTTAATGGTTGAGAAATCTTGGATCGGGAAATCTGGAACGGAAATTCTAGCTGTATATGCTTTGAATATCTATTCGATATCGTGGCAATTATACTCACCAGAATAAAAGGGTTGAGAATATAAAGTCTGGGAAGTCGCTCGCTGGAGAGAAATCCTGGTTCGGTAGGAATGAGAATGGGAACTTGTTTTTTTTTTTTTATGTTTAATGATAATGAAGTTGAGGGAGAGGGAGGATATACATGCTTGAGGTTGAGTGTGTGAGGTGGATGGATGGATTAGTTGACGGTTGAGGATTTTTTGCTCCTTGTAATTACTTTTACTCTTGGAGAATAATAGGATGAGTATGTATGATTTATTATTTATTTGATTGTAGAGTATGACTGGAATGTAGGAATTTTTATTTGTGTAATGTAGAGTATATGTACATGTATATGTGAGATGGAGATGGAGATGGATATGGATGTAGAGAGGTATTATGTTACTGTGTTGTCAGTGTTGTGTTGTGGAATGTAGAATGAGCGTTGCTAGTGTAACGAATGTCAACAAATGTAACGAATGTACTGGTGATTGGTACAAAGTTGTTACCTCGTCCATCTAGCTAGGTACTCTCTCTCGTCATGTTTTTGGAGAGTGGCTGGCTGTATGATAGATAGTACTAGTAGGTGGAATCTGGAATTTGAAGCTTGGAAGTATGGAAGCATGGCATTGTTCTATATGGGTACTTATTTTTCTGAAGGGATTTCTTTCATTGGGGTTTAAAGCTTGGGGGGTAGGTATGTGTTGTTTTATGGTGTTTATGTGGATATGTTTTTATTATTTTATTGTTTTATTTTATTAGAGTTGGGTTTTATTTGGGTATATTTGGTTTATTTGCTTTGCTTTGAGAAATATGTATTCCTTTCGGTTGTGAAAGAGTTTCTGGGGATGCTTTTGCGGAAGGGATGGGTTGGTTGTGTTGTGTTTGTTGTGTTGTGTTTTCAGTCTTTTTGTTTTTTATTGTATATGTATATGTACATCCCTCATTCAGCACCCTTTTGAACTACATAATCAAGCTTTGATATAATACAAACCCATGAAAAGCATTGAGATGAATTTGATTTCCATTTCAAACTCCATCAGCCATCTAATACCCACACACTATAAACACCAGCCCTAAATAGTTCCACCACCATCTATATATACCTGGGATGAGGAGTTCTATTCTGGTGTGATGCGTCAGGAAGTTGAACATGAAAGAGTTCAAACGTAGAAGTTTTTATTGTTTGTACTGGAGATGGTTATCGTAATGAGGGAGTTCAATCGGAAATTGGTGACAGTAGGATCAGTAGAGGGGGGCAGTGGAGTATATCCTCTCGGTCCCGAAGGACTCTCTCCTATAGGGTTGTATGCCGGTCAGATTTACCCTGGATAACTCATATACCGTACTCATAGCCGAACCCAAGACGTTGGTAAGAGTTCTGTTTTGATGGGTTTGGGTGTAAGGATGGTGCTCGGTATGCTGACTCGAAGTTGTCGTATTTGGATTTTGGAGACGATTCGATGGATTGTGATGGTGCTGTATGCATGGCCAGGATGATTGATGAGTGAGGTAGGTCTATTTAGTACTCTTTATGCCAGTAGTGTTCTGGAGGATTAACTCGATTCTTTATATCACAATAATGCCGTATGCACGGCTCGGCTGGGTGACAAGTGAGGTCTATTTAATTCTCTCTACACCAGTGATATTTTTGGGGATAAACTCGACGGTTATTCCAATGATGACGATACGTTGCATGGTGCATGATGCTTGACGAATGTAGAAGGTGGGATGGATATCCTACTTGTCTCGGAAGATCCTGTGCACTTTCATTCGTTGGTGGTGATTACGTCGGCGAGATCTTACTCCGATTAAAAGCTACCCCAGTTTGTTGTCAAAGGGCCCGAATATTGTGGTTCTAGTCTTGTGTATAAATCATGAATGATTCATATCAATATTCCCAACTCGAATATTTGGAATTTCAAACTTCACAATGGCAAATTCCCTCGCCATATTTCTCCTTCTGATCTTTGGCTTCGTAGCTGTTGTCAGAAGCACAACATTATACCGCTATCACGAGGATCCAGCACCAGGTGATCTGGCATTCAAATACCCTTACCCCGTGCATTTCTACCATTTCATCTCGCAACAGCAAAATCTAACCATGGCCTACATGGATGTTTCTCCCTCCAACACCACATCCCGCGCCGGAACCATCGTTCTCCTCCACGGCAAAATGTTCTGCGGCGCAACCTGGAACACGACCGCTCACGCTCTCTCCTCCATCGGCTACCGCGTCGTCATCCCTGATCAAATCGGCTTCTGCAAATCCTCAAAAACAATGCACTATCAATTTTCCCTGCACCAACTCGCCACCAACACGAATTTTCTCCTCCAATCCCTCAACATCACCTCCGCAATCATCATGGGTCATTCCATGGGCGGCATGATATCCGCTCGCTACGCCCTCACCTTCCCCTCGCAAACCCAGCGTCTCATCCTCGTTGACCCTCTCGGTCTCGAAGACTGGCAGGCCCTAGGAGTCCCCTACCAGCGTCCCGACCTCACCTTCACCACCGAGCTCGCCACTACCTACACCAGCATCATGACGTATCAGAAATCCACCTACTATGGCGGGACCTGGGATCCCGCTTACGACGAATGGGTCAATATGCTTCTGGACGTGTATGCGGGACCGCAGGGACGCACCTTCGCGTGGGATATGGCATTAGTAACGGATGCAGTTTTTGTGGAGCCGATCGTGTATCAGCTGCCAAATTTGACGATGAGGAGTTTGCTCGTGGTGGGGGATTTGGATAATACGGCGATAGGGAAGGCGTGGGCGCCGGCGAGTGTGCAGGCGCTAGTCGGGCATTATGAGGTGCTGGGGAAGGAGGTTGCGGCGAGAGTTCCAGGGATGGATTTGGTGGAGTTTGAGGGGTTGGGACATAGTCCACAGATTCAGGATTTTGATACGTTTTGGGAGGCGGTGGAGGGGTGGTTGAGGAAGGTGTAGGGGCGGGGGAAGATTGGGTTGTTTTATGTTCTAGTCCTATTTTCTTTGATGTGCACTGCAAGCGAGTGATCTGATCAGGTGAGTGATTTCCACTAAGATCTATGATTCAAATTATCAAAAATATTATCGGCAGCATGTGCTCTCGTGATTTGATAAATGAATTATTGAGATGTGCATTTGACACATTGGATTAGAACCCGTATGTTCCTTTTCCTTTCAAATAACTGTCTTTTAGAATTCATCAGCTTCGAATTCTTCAATAAAAAAAAAAGGAGAAACAGAATGAAGTACTCTCTCCTACACTAGTACCTATTCAAGGGCTTTAGAAGAAGTTTTCATATCATATCATATTGATACGATCAGATTTGCACATTGTATGATTATACCATATGACATACTAGTATGATATAGATCTTTACAGTCAGTACCTACACAACCCCTTGACCAAAGACTTGACACTAGGATTTTTTCTGCGGGGTTCGATTCGAAATGTTGTTTGATTTGAGTAATTTATATTCATCTTCTGATATTATGAGTACCTAGGTAGATAGGTAATTGGAATTTATTTTCCATATTTTAATCTAATTTATTGCGATTTTTGTCTTGATTGGAAGGGGGGCGCGGGGGTTAGCTTGCTCTGTTCACTTTGCTGTGTTTTGTGATGAATTACTCTTATACTCTAGGAAATCCAAAATGTTACTCTCATGCCTTATAAATTTTCGAAAATTGTAGTCCAGAATCTATAATAGGGCATAAGAATAAAACAGCTTCAATTTCTTTAGTGCTTGAGTGTGATTATTCGTGATATTCTATTGTGCTATTCTATTTCCCACGGAGAGTAGAGTGTTAATTGATCAATTTGTATGTAGTGACTTACGTCTTTTTACTGTTTTCTCTGATGATAGACTTACTGCTTCCTGCAAATGTAAATTGAGAGAACAATTGCTTTGTTTGAGAAATCGACTAGTAATTATTTAGCATAATTCTAACAAAGAACTCGACAACGCAAAACGTCTAATAGCCGAATTTCTTTTCGCTTCCAAAGACGCGATTTACACTACAAAGAACATCTTCTTCCGGTGGAGTTTCCCATAGCTGTAGCTTCTCTTTGAGATCCCAAACGTTAACTACTTTTACTTCGCTTTAAGTATCGTCAGTACTAGGGAAATCATCCTATCAGAAATAAACGCCAAAATTTCAAATAGACATCATGAGTACCCTAGGGAGACGATCACAAAAAGGAGAAAGTTCCAAGTCTGCTTACACTTCCGCCTACCACGGCTTTGGAGAAGGGAAAGAAGCATGGCAAGACAATCTTCGAGAGCGGAGTGCGTGGGGAAAACGGCAGGACAAGATGTATCTGAAGATGCAACTTCCAGAAAAAAGAAGGAAGAAGAAGAAGAGCTTGGGAAAAATCAAGATGTTCCTGCGCAAGAGGAGGTCTCCACAGAGGAGGGTTCACCCGTCGCAACTCCCGATCCCCTTACGGAAGTCTCTGAAACTTCCGAATCTGATGGCAGAATTAAGGATGCCCGAGCTGAGGAAAGCAGGCGCGAACGAGAGGACATTGCCCGAGCAAAAAGAGGAAAAGGCAGGGAAAGTGAGTGAAAGAATCGATTAAAGGAGTCTGAATGTTTTTAAAAAAAATTGGAGGGTATTAGAGCTAATTCAACAGCAAAGTTACAGACGAAATGAAAGCGCGAGAAATAGAAGAGAAACTCAACCGGAATGCTGCGCAGAAAGCTCGTTTCGATGTGAGAGGTCTCGGTGCGCCATCTGGCGCCGCGGATATCCCCGATCCGAGAGCCCCCGATCCCAGACCGCCGCCTGGAGCACGGCCAGGAACAGCAGAAAAGAAATTCTACGTCTATAAAGCACCGCACAAAGTAAGCTACATCAAGCCGTGGACCTGGCGATTTCGCCGCGCGAAATCCGCAGACGAAAAGGAAATGTAGCTGGAGAAGGGCACTACTATGTCCACAAAAGACGTCCCAAACCCGCCCCCTCCTGGCTTTTTTGGAAGTGGAATTGGCAAGGTCCGAAGCCCATTTCGTGGATTCCCATCTACCCGTCCCACCATCCCGAGAACGACGATCCGGAGCTGAAAATCTTCATTGCGTATAGTTGTGGACATCGTTTTCCTACACGCGTGATTTCCGCTCCTACCTGGACGGCCTCGTCGCCTTCATTTCTCTTCTCCCCCTCTTCTCCATTCACTCCAACACGCCCACCTACCCCAGAAGTGAAAGCACAAGCGGACACCCGCACATCCATCCGCTGCCCTCCTTAAGAGTCGAGACTCTGCGCATTGCGGCTCGGAACGAAGGAATCAAGAATATCATTTCCCCCGAAAACTATGAGTGTCCCAATTGTCACATATGGCGGCATTGGTTTTGGTGGGCTCTGCTTGTTGGAATAGTTTGGGCTATCTTCACGTGGTACTTTGCGTTTGTATGGCCTTATACATGGTGGGCTACGATGCAGAATGGGGACCAATCCCGAGATATACAATGATTGCGAAATTTGATATTCATCGTGAAAGAGATGAATTTCATGTACGTCAGGCCATAGGAGGGTTGGTGATTGCGATGTTTTTGTTTTTGTCAGGACTTTTTTGTTTTTTGTCAGAACCTTATGGATTCCTGTGGCATTAATTTGCTTGCTTCATTTTTGCTCTATCGATTGAAAAAGGCGAGGCCTATCGATGATGTCAGTCCGGATGAATGAGGAAAGAGGGAGGAGGTGAATTGCATGATAACCAGTTCTATACAATCGAAACTTTTACGTTCTCTATAAACCCCGCAATTATTTATCTTTTCTGCATTACCTATTTCAGAGCAAGATCTAATCCGAAATAATGAAACGATTGAATATTAAAAGGTTATGATGGATTTACTTTCTTAGTATCATATAACTACTTAGTAAAGCCACTCCCACTGACAAAACTACTATCATCACCAATCAAATCACCTATTCTACAACTTAGAATTTGAACTTCCTATTCAATGGAATAAACAGAACATAACATAAGGTTAATTGATAGTCTCATCAAAGGAATCGGCTTTATATTTCTTCTCTACCATGAACTAATCAAAAAAGCGAAAAAAGCAATTGCAATAAAAGCCATTCACATGCACTTCCATGTTGATTGCTTCATTTCTATTTTGAAGGAGAGAGAGGATTTTGAGAATTGGAATTGGTCAGGGAATCTTGATTGCTGGAGAAAAGGGAGATATATCGAATTTTGACTTTTACTTTATTTTATTTTCTCGATCCACGCCTTCGTGTCTCGAAGTGACGTACAACATGATATGTACAGACGAATAGAAATATGCTTACAAGATAACCTTACAATTCCCACTTATCCATATCCTCTTGGAAGCAATACTTCCTGTGGTCCCTCACTATCTACAATATATCCCAATTCACATTTATCATAACTACTACTCTTCTGCCATGTCTTCTGCATAAAATGTGCTCGAAGCGAGGGAGATAGAGCGTCGTCAAGTGTTCTCACGTTTCTGGCTGGATGTAACACCGACCAAGGTTGTACGCACGTGTTACCCTTGCAGGAATGTTGTTACCATGAGAAGAGCATCGAGGCGGGGAATGAGCTTGGGAAGATTGAGGTTGCCATGTGTGGAAGCGCTTGCAATAGATGAGGAAGGATAGATGTTGTTTGTTTGATGCGGATCGGTGGTTAAATCGTAGAGCTCGTGTTCGTTGGTACACCAAACTGAGTAGTAGAGAGTATGGCTATCGCTAATTATACGCAGAGCTTTGTAGGTGTTGTTGAGACCATAATAGACGACCTTCCCATCGTCGAGAGAAAATCGATGGATACCTTCAGGAAGTGCTTTTTCCCCAGAATTCGACATTCACGTGTCCTGTCTGGGTATTCTCGGCATCTTTGAGTCCTTGTGAATCGAGGGGGAATTACCGCTCCCGTCTAAATCTTTTCTTTTCCAATCCCCATTTGCAATCTTGAGAATCGTAGGAGCAAGATCTGTGTGCGCAGTCACAACACTTGTTTCCTCTCCCTGTGGAACTCCAGGGCCACGGATGACGAGAGGAATGTTGATATCTCCTCAAACCCCACATTCTTTTTCCTGGGGCTAGACGATGTTGAGAGATATGGTAGCCATTATCGGTAGAGAAGATGAAATAGGTATTGTCAAGGATACCATAATCAGTCAATCGATAACAAGACCTTCGATAAGTTTCATCTACCGCTTGGAGGTTTGAAGACGAGCTCGGTGGAATTCATTCATTATATGCGATAACCTCGTCAGTTAGTTGATCTAGATGTTTTACCCATGAGGCTCCGCTAGGCTATATGAAAGGTTTAGCTTGAGATCTTTTCAACAATACATAACTTACCTTGTCTGGATTGAAATTAGCATTCCTTGGAACCTTTGCACCAGGAAACAAGTGCTTGTGTCTCTCAGCAGGAATAGGAGCCGTCATCAGGATTCCCTCTCCAGGCTTAAATGCAGCCGGGTCAACATTCGCGTGAGGGGCGATTTGCGCTGCGACCAAAAAGAATGGCTTTCTGGATTGTACTCCTTCATCAAGTAATCCGTATGCCTTCTGCGCAAGGACATCGGTTGAGTATTCGCCCTCGTGACTCACAGGCGGATGTTCATTCCTTTGAAATGTAGAATTATAATATTGATATGTGAACGGATCCAAAAGAAAATCGGACGAAGTCCATCCAGCTGGATGGGGTTTATTCCAATTGCTCACAGTGTGATGATTGAAAAGTTTACCCGTGTAGAAAGTGCTGTATCCAGCATATTCAAGCCAGACTGGGAGATATGCATCATTGAAGCCCTGCTCAACGAATTTCTGATATCCACCTGTTCTGATACATCAGCTACCGGGCTACCCGAGGGGCTGAGGTGAACACTGACCATAAGGAGGTGCTACATCCGTCACATTTGTGTTATGAGCATTCTTGCCCGTCCATAATGTGACTCTTGAAGGACAGCATATTGCAGTAGTACAGTAATGACGCTTGAATGAAAAGGTTCCTTGATCATTACATGCTTCTTATAGTAAGGGCATATAATCAATTGACTGGCTGTGTAGGGTCCTGTCATCTGTCAAAACAACGCACTATGTTCGCCTTACATCATTCTTTTGTCCAATTGGAAGTTGCGCGGCAGCAGAAACTGTAGCAAGTCCTAGGACAAACAGTGGTGAGGCTCTTCATGCTGAATTTGTTCTGTTCTAGGTATTGTCTTTATGATCCCTTCTCGTTATTTAAGTGAGAAGAATCGATACAGCTCCAACTGAAGGTTTGGAGATGAAGTCAGCCATGACAAGATGCGGTCGAGGCTATCATTGACCCACCCACATTCCACATTTCGCTGTGGAGTAGATAGTACTCTTCACATCGGAAGTGGAACTCAAGTCTCATGCCGTCCAAGAGTCCGCAACAACGGGTAACTGCATATGCTTCTGGGTTGGGGATTTCCTAGCTATACGATTGTGAATTAGGGAGGATACCCCGCTGCGTTAAAGCTTCGAAATCATTTTTGCCGTACAAATAGGAAAAGGCTTTGTAAAGTTGGAGACATGACGTTGTGTGATTGCTAAAGCAAGCCTCAACTCCAATGTATGGCGTGAGATCCGTGCCTATTTTCATCATCAAATTGCGGGGCTTCAGGGTTTCATTCAACAGGGGGGTTTCCGCTCATTCAAAGCCTATCGTGTGATAGAGGCTTCATGTACACTTACTCGTACATCTCTCTCATTGGGAGTTTGGAGTTTCTTGTTGATTCCCGCAGCCATATGTGAGATCAAATTTCGGATATTTGATAAGGTGAGGATTTTAGAAAGAATGATGAGCTTTCAACTTTTCATTTCAACCGGGACCGAGTTATTGGCCCTGTTGCTGACGGCTCAGTGGCTTGGCTTAGACTGACAGCGGATTGAGTCAATGCCCTAGAAAACAAAACCTTAGTCGGTTCTAAGGCAGTTTGAAAAAGCATTTATTAAACTTTTGACGTCCGCCATAGCTTGAATCATAAGAAAAAAGATTATTGTTGGAGGTGGTATTGGATATTGACCTATGGCATTGCATGAGAGAGATACCGTTCCAAGAGATGATTCGAGTCAAGCTTCATCCAAAGATGCGGATTCGATAAAATCGTACTCGGAAACAGATTCATTACTTTCACCAGTAACCGCTGCTTCAACTCCAAATTACAAGTCAACCGCAACTTTTCCAGACGTGGAATCTGCACAAAATGACCAAGTCCAAGACGAAACCACGGAAAAGTCACGAGAGAGCGCTGCTATCATAAATAAGTCTTCTGCTGATTGGTACATATTCAAAACTCCTTCATCGACTTTCTTCGTGCTTATTTTCCAGTGTTTTTATATCATATGCAGATGGTACACTTGTTCTTGCAACATATGGTACCATTGCTTCCGAATTTCGGGCACTGGGTGATGCCAGTTGGTTGACTACTAGCTATTCTTTAGCGATGTGTGCGTCCCAACCTCTTACCGGCAAGATCAGTGATATATACGGAAGGAAACCAGTTCTCTTGATATCATACGGGTTCTTCGTGATCGGATGTGTTTTGACGTAGGTGACTTTCGGAGTTTGAAGGTGTTGTACTGATGTTTTGAAAGGGGGCTTTCACAAACAATGTGGCAAACTGTGATGGGTAGAGTAGTAGCTGGCATTGGAGGTGCGGGTCTGAGTGTTATGGTCTCTGTTTGATTGTGGGTAGTGATGAAAGTCATATTTGAGCCTTCTCAACCCCTGCACTAACTCGCCCAGATCTTGTACCTCTCATTCATGTTGCCGCGTGGAGAAGTTATGTCAATGTCGTTGGGACGATTGGAAGGAGTATCGGTGGACCCCTAGGCGGGCTGCTAGCAGACACAATAGGATGGCGTTGGTAAATTCGTCATTCCAGTTAAAACCTGATTGTATCTTTTCTCTAACAATCCGTGGCAGGTCGTTCATCGGACAAGGACCTCTGATGCTTTTCGCTATTGCTTTAGTAGCATATAAACTTCCAACGAGATCATCATCTGATGAGCCCATCCAAGGCAAAGATGGGCCTTCAAAACTTCGACGAATTGATTTTGTTGGAGCATTCTTGCTAACTGGAACCATCGCTGCTTTTCTCGGCTCCCTCAGTCTTGGAGGACAAGCACTACCTTGGTCGCACCCTACAGTTCTTGGGTTGTTGTTGGGATCTGTTGTGCTTGGCGCTATATTTGTGACGTATGAGGTCAAAGTCGCTGCGGAGCCTATATTCCCGCCAGCACTTGCTGCCCAACGAGATGTAGCAGCATCTTATGCTATTCATGCGTTGCAACTCAGTGCACAAGTTGGCGAAAGCCATTCTATGCCTTCTATTTGCGATGCACTAATCACTAACCTCGCATAGATGATGTACTCTGTTCCACTCTATTTTCGTGTTACAAAAGGCAGCTCCAATACTACTGCTGGGCTTCATCTCTTTCCGTCTGTGTTTGGTAATACGACGGGAGGTCTTCTTGCAGGCTGGCTAATTACTCGGTTCGTTCTTTGCCCATTGAATCAGTATTAACATTTCATATATCAAGCATACTAACAATCATCAGCACTGGCATTACAAATACCTCCTGATCTTCTCTACTATCTCATCTATTTTCTCCTACACTATGCTTCTCGCAACATGGCATAGCAATCACCTTTCTCTCGCGGCGTCTCTCTCTATATTTCCAGGTGGTTTTGGTCTCGGAATAACGGCTGCTTGCGCATTTATTGCCCTCACCGTTTCTGTTCAAAAGAGGGAGATGGGTATGGCAACCGCAGGTATGTATTTGATGTCTAGTATCGGTATGGTTGTTGGAGTTGCCTTGTGTGCTGGAGTTCAAAACAGTTCTTTGGGAGAAGCGCTTGCAGGGTTAGAATTGGATGGAACCATAGTGAGACAAGTGATGGAAGATGTGGGAAGCGTGAAAGACCTGCCGGGAGATATTAAGATCCAGGTAATAGATGCATATGTGAAAAGTTTGGGAGCGAGTCATGCAGTGAGTGTGGGACTCTCAAGTTTGGCGTTTTTGTTAAGTTTGGCGGTTAGAGAGAGAAAGATCAGATAGACGGAAATCCAGAGATGGTGACTTGGAGACCAACTCGACGCCTCCATGCTCACCTGAGTATATATCCATTCATGTATTTGCTTCGCCTGTTGTACATAATGTGTCCTCTTGACCAGCTACAGTCATCTTTCCAGCTATTCTGGAAATGCGGAATCCTTATAAAATCGAATTGTTATTACTATTCACATTATAACTGAAACCAAAAAAATTCGGACCCTGCGATGAACCTTCGGGATACTCCTGCCTCGAGATCAAGGCCAAAAAGCCTCAATTATGTAATCGCCGTGTGGTCTGCCTTTATACGAGAAAAAAGAAACCGTGTGGTCGACAATGTGCTGTATAGATTTTCAAAATTGTCGTTGATCTTCAACAAATAACAATCCCTCGTGGCGCAATTGGCTAGCGCGTTCGACTGTTACTTGTATCATCTCACGTGATCGAGAGGTTGGTGGTTCGAGCCCACCCGAGGGAGTGAAATGTTGATGCTTTTGGAATTTTGTTCGGTTTCTTTTTGCGGTGGTGGAGGGTTGTCTTGGTGAGGGTGGTTCAAATGGTGTGTTGGTTTTCGTTTTGAGGTGTGGTGTGTTGGAGGGAGGAGTTGTGAAATGTGGGGTAATTGAGAATCTTATAATTTTACATCCATGGATGATATCCTGTATTCGGGTGGGCTCGAACCACCAATCTGGCGCTTTGGAATTCGTTCTTGAGCTTTTCTTCTATCCGTGTTTCTTCTACAATATGCTTCTATGATATTCTGCTCTCTCCTTTCTTTTTCTGATTTTCGCTTTGGTTGGGATGTTGGGTAATAGAACTTTTTCTCTTGAAGAAAAGATCGTTGTGTTGGGACAATACTACCCGTGGACGCTGTACAAATGTGGCTATGCTACGTGTGGCTTGAATTTGGAGGGGATGCCTAGGTGGCTTGTATCGGCTCTCACCATTGACAGTGAATTGAAAGCATGTGATACGTTGATGGAGAAGAAATATCAAACCATCGCTTGGGCGCGAAGCAGGGTTTCAAACATATCCATCCAATCCCTGTTGAATATGACGTGTGGCTGGGGCCGAATTTCTGGAGCTGGATTGAAGTTTGGTATGGCGAGTCGCAAATGAAGATGAGTGGTGAATAAAGAAAACATGTGTTGCACAAGGGAGATATGACCTTGGATGTGACCATGTTTTGAGTTTATATTTGATATCTTGTCTTCCTGTCTTTTTGCAAAGCTTTTATTCATACACTCATATATTCATATCTTTGAATCAAAGAAGATAAAAGAAGATCCATACCTAAGACATCGAGAAAACGAGACAAGAATATTTGAATCGCAATCATGCTCGAATATTTCACCTACAAAAAAGTCAAGAAGCATAATGCCGACAAGAAAGATCGAGCTTCCAATTCCAACACTCCTCTAGCATCACCAACCCCAGCTTCCCCGACAACTTCTTCAAAACCACGCCATTTAAATACAGTTAAAAGTCCATCTGCGGATTTGGGAAGAGGAGGCGCAAGTCCGATTCTTAACGATGAGGATGAATATTTCTTGCATAGATTTATAAGTGCAGAGGGAACTCCACCTCCACTCCCACAGAGAAAACCTACGTTACCAGCTAGACCTAGTGAGAGGGGAAATGAGGGAATAACAATGGGTGATGAAGCAGGAGAGTGGAGGAATAATGAGTTGCAGATGATTTTGAGGGAGGATGAGGATGAAGAGGGGGTTGAAAGGGAGAATGAAACTCAAGCGCAAGGAAAAGGAAAGGAAAAGATAGGTGAGAGAGGTGAGAAAGTTGATGATAATACCGAGAAAGTGGCAAAGAAGTGGAAGAGATTGAGTTTCTTGCATAGAGGCAAAAAGGTATGTCAATCCAACGATCTAATTCTCCTTTATTCCATCAATCAACAACTAACTTTTTCTTTCCAGGAAAAGGACGCCAAAGCTACAGGTCTTCAACCAGATCCCAACATCTCCGACACAGAAGCTCAACGAGAACAAGACGATCTATCCCGAGTCCTCGACGACCTTTCTCTAACCGCCTCCAACAATCGCGCATTTTCTCTTTCTCCCGATTCAACAGTCCTCGTTCAAAAATTTACCTTTATTCTCAAAGACCTCATAAACGGTGTTCCAACCGCCTACGATGACCTCGTTCATCTACTCGAAGATTCCCAAGGAACCCTCTCCAAATCCTACGATTCTCTCCCCTCCTTCCTCCAAAAACTTATCACGCAACTCCCGCAAAAAGTCACCACCACTCTCGCTCCCGAACTCCTAGCCGTCGCTACAGAAGCCCAAGCACACAGTGTTGCGAATGCCGCGAGCGCGGCGCAAGCGGGCGGGATGAGTGCTGCGGCGAAATCTTTCCTGACGCCCTCTTCGCTCAAAGATCTGGTTACGAAACCGGGCGCGGTAGTGGGTATGCTAAAGGCGATTGTCAATGCGTTGAAATTGCGCTGGCCGGCTTTTATGGGAACGAATGTGCTGCTTAGTTTGGCGCTTTTTGTGCTGTTGTTTGTGTTTTGGTATTGTTATAAGAGGGGGAAGGAAGTTCGGTTGGCGAGGGATGGGAGGGTTCTTGCGGAGGGGGAGGTGCTTACGCCGGGTGAGGGAGGGAGTAGGGAGTTGAGTCGGGAGGGTTCGAGGAGGGAGGGTGGTGGGAGGAGTGGGAGTAGTGATGGAGATGGGTATAAAGCGAGGAGGGATGCCAGACAGAGGGAGAAGGAGATTAGGAAGGAAGAGGAGAGTAGCAGGAGTCGAAAGAGTGAGAAGGAGAGGAAGTAATGGAGATTGAAATTTTGTGGGATGAGCTGAGGGACTGATGCTGATGATAATATGATATGATATGATATGATGGATACGATGGATACCCTTAACACGAAACATGAAATCAGGCTTTTTTTTTCACACGGCTAGTATTCTGATTTGAGAAACTCAGTTTCTTCAGCAAAGATATACGTGAATGATAGTTAGTTTAGTACAATGAAAATGAATTTATTTATCATGCACCTTTCTCCTATAGGCTGAATTTAAATATCACTATCATACAAATTGGTTATTGTAGAGGAATCAGCGTAGAATGGACGAATATCGCGCATTTTGTATTGGGTTAATGATAGCGGATTGGTGGTTATTGTTGTTGTTTTTAAAAGTGATCGATTGATCATTTTCTGTTTATTCTTTTCAGTAAATACATTCCTTGCGTTATCTGGAGTAATATGATAATAAAGCTCTGACTGAGAGTTTTCTTTTCGTCTCTACTTGAGAAGGTAGTGAGTGAATATTAGGATAGGACTCTGAGGGGGAGGGGGAGGGGGAGATTCCTAACCGAGAACGAAAACGGGAACGTTAACCAATAGATTTACAACTACTGGGTTATGGAATGGTGTTGATTACCTAGTATTCATTGGATATCAAAGACTTCTGACATCGGAACTGATGATCTAACGATTTCATCTAGATACCTACCTAGTGACAGTCTATCCTAGTGTAATTAATCACAGGAACTGTAAGATCTTACTTCTGGAGAGAGAAAAAATGATAGAAAGCCCTCCCTATTCATGGTCATCGCATTACATTACATATATTGTTTAATACAAGAGATATAGACCATATAAAATGCTATGGAAAGAAAGACTTCGTTCATTTCATTCTCTATAATCAAAATGAAGATCGAGATTGCGTTATTATGATAGAGTAGTGAATATGTTTCTCTACTTCTCTAAAAATTCATGTGCTACTCGCATTCCCACAATTACTCATTGCCTCGCTCCCTGTCTGACAAAAAGGAATCTTTAAACCTGATATTGGAATTAGTATACGTATGTTTGCCCTTCTGCCTGGACTCCAGGAAATTCATTACGAGCCTTGGAGGGAATGGCCCAATGTTCATCAGATGTGGACGAACCAATGTGAGTGCTACTGTGTTAATTCATTGTTCTCCGTCACTTCTATATTCAGGTCAAACTCTTGACCTGCTAATACTCTTTTTCTTTGTAGCTTTACAACATCTTTTTAAATCGCTTTTTGCTCTCAATTACAGAGACTCGTAATCTTCGAGAATTTCGACCAAACTTACCCAGCTAGCTACAAGGGTAGGGCGCTTGCTAACGCCAGTCTCACACTTGAACACCTCTCAATGTCGTTCATGGGAGAAGCTAGCCATTTTCTCAAAGCTCGAGAACTTTCCTGAAAGTAATTGGCCTAACTTGACTTGGCTTGCGCTGACTTCACGACTGCTCGTGCCACGGGAGCGCTCGGCGGAGTTGGATGATATGCTTCAGGCAGCGGCGGCGGCGACTATGGATATGCCAAATCTTGGAAAAAAAAAAAAAAAAAAAGGAAATATGGAACGGAGAGAAGGGGTTAGCGATGCTCTTTAGATACCAGCTTAATAAGCGAGGGCAACCTGCTGTGATAATCTATAGAGGAACATGAGAGTTGACCTTGCGACCCCTTGTAATTCAGGCTTGGGACTCTGTATCATTGAAGCATTGCGGCCAAGGAAATGTTATCATCAAGGAGTTACTGGATATTAGTGATAGTAGCAAGTCTCATGGTAACGCCATACGCCATTTGCAATTGTCAAAGCCTGTCGTTCGCCCTGCCTCACTGCGCCAGATTCAGATGATGCACACAGTTTGAGAAGTAATGTAAAGTTGATAGCTGTTCTTAAAAGGCAACTTTCTATCACAGACTATTATCGAGCCTACTGGCTCGAAGTTGCTGCAGAAATTGACTGCGCTTATGAATGCAGACAATGAGACAGCCTCGGCTTGTGAACGTTATCAGCATCTTCATAGGAGAAAAAACAGACTGCAATTGACCACTGACAAAGCCCTTTAATGATCCAATTGTTCCATTCCATTTCAGAGAATTCAATCTTTAAATTATTTCATGAAATGAAGATTATTCATGGATTTATTTGATGTTATAATTAATATTCATTAAAGATTAAATATCAAATTTACAATAAATCTTAGGTAAGTTCCCAATATCTTTAATAATAATTAATATAATATTTTGAAAAAACTTCCCAAGGGGGATTTTTTTTGTGATTTTAAAAGAGTTAATGTAAGATAATTATAATTTGATTGATTTGTTATAATATTATAAAAGTAATAAAAGATTATCAAGTTTTATAATTTTTTCTAGATTAAATTAATATTAATATATTTTATTGATTTTAATTAGATATCTTATTATAATAGAAATTTTGTATATTACATTTGGTTTTATTTAGAATTTGAAGAATCTAATTATATTGAATGTGATTTTCAAAATTCTGAGTTGTAGAGTTTAAATAATATAAATAGTATTTTAATTAACGTGGTTTATCATCGAGTGGCCTATATCATCGAGTAGCTGTGACGACAATAGGTTCAAGGCATGATAGTGAATTGAATTAATTATCGATACTAGAGAATAACAAACTACTGTACGAAGAGTGAACCTGTAAGAGGTTTTTATAGGCCAGGAGGGAACCAGGAGGGGACCAGGAGGGGATTAAAAGCGAAGCGAGATTAGATCTGCTGGATAAAGCAAATGTATAACTAATCTAGGCCTGAGGCTAGATCGTTATATTATTCCCTTTTTGAGAAACGGCTTGTCCTTAAGTCTGTTTTTATCCTTTCCTTTGTCTCTTTGTTTTTGGAAATCTAGATTTCTTTTTTATTATTATTATTTCCTCTACCTTTCTTATCAATTTTCGCTTTCTTGTAGGTATAGCAAATGGCTTATTCTCCTCTTCCTTATTGTCGTCGTTATTATCAGAAATATCGATTGGGATATCGTATGCTTGTCGCAAGGGGCTTATTATAATTACGCGAGTTGTACGATTATGATGTGGGATATCGTTTATTATCTTCAAGGTATACTATCTATCCTCCTTTTCTTCTTCTTTGTTAAATCAAAAGCTAGTTATTCGGTGTGGTTCGCTATTTTGCTATTTGTTACAAATACCTTCGAGCAGTATATGTATATTATATTTTTGTAGTAAGGAGAGTTTACAAAAGAAGCGGAAAGAAATTCGATAAGGAATATCTTTTAAAAGGACTTGTGTTTTCTTGATATTAGCGGTGGTGGGTTCTGAGAATCGAATACCACCTTATTAGTGGTCTTCGATTTTCTCAAATCGTTCGATGATTATTGTGTTTAATATATAATAAGTGGTAAGATTATTTGGGGCGGCTTTTAGAAACCAGGTGAAGGCTGTAGTTCCAGTCATATTATTCTTTCATCTAGTATTATTTCGAACAAGCTGATCCAGATATCAGTTTCTCTCGTTTATAAGGCTATCTAATTGTTTGATGGCGAGTTCAATATCTTTCTATAAATGTTTGCTATGGATGGTTATAATTGTGAAAACCGTATACTTGGCCTCCAAGTCCTTTTTTATTATATTCAAATATTTATAAAGTTTTTTCTTTATCTTGTAGGTTTATAGTCTGACAACGAAATTGTTCAAATTAATATTGAGCTTTGCAAATTGTCTTTTGCCGAATTTGATTATTTTGATTTACTAAAGTTTTGGAAGGTTTGGATGTGAGTCGATGTATGAGAGGATGTTGGTAAAATGAATAGACTCGCTGAAAACAAAAGTAAGGGTAGATGAGTCTATAGACAGTGGAGTAGAGGTTGTAGTTTTTAGTTGTTAATTTAGTAGCTTTTATTCTTTATCATTTAGTATTAAATATAATCAGGAAAGTAAGAGGGATTGTGGTAGTATTGCCTGAACTCGCTGCTTGGTAGAGTACATTGGGGAGCTAAAGATATTATACAAAGCTTAAAATATTACTAATAATTTTTCTTTCCGAGTTGAATTAAAGAATTGATTTATTTTAAATAAAGTTGATTTACGAAAGTAAAATATAAAGTAAAAGAAAATATAGAAAATTCAAATAAAAATAAATATAAAGTAAACAAATTCTTGTAGTAATGGAAAAAGGTTTGTATATTAGATTACTTTTCTTGAGGTAAACAGGTTAGATAAGATTGTTTTTTATCTATATCCATAGGTTTTTTATTTGATAGATTGTTATAGTTATTAATGTTGTTTTCCTAGCTCTTTATCCATTTTGATAAATTCTCAGGAGGATTTATGGTATGCGGATATTGTATATGGAAGCTTTTAACTTTATGGAATGCATATATTATATCTCTATAATAGTATTATACAGGATTGTTGTTATAGTCTGTCCATCTTATCTTATAACGAATCTCTTTTCGAATAATCTTTGAGGCTAATATATCTTGGACCTCGAATTCGGCGTTTGTAGCGATTACGATTGAAGGTGGGGAGTTGACTTTTTGATTAGGCACAGGGTTGTCTAATACTTTTCGAAATTTATCTGGAGAGAATACCTTGTGCACTTTTATATTATCTAATAGATTAAGAAGATATGAGTAACCTTTCTTAAAAAGAATAGTATAAGAATCAGTTATTTGTAAATCGAGCTTTTGATTAAGTCTTTCAATAGCAAAATTCTTTATAATAATAAAGACCTTATTATTAACCTTAAAGTTGATAATCTGTTTGTGCTTATCTGTATCCCTTCTTTTCTTATCTTGAAATTTGAGGATAATTTTTTTAACTACCTCCCAGGCTTTATACATTTTAGAAGTAAAAGTTTATACTTTCTTTTAAAAAAGTTTCTTTTGAATAATAGAAACAATAGAAAATCTATCCTAATCGAAAAAGGTAACCGGTCTATACCCATTTTGAAGCTTGAAGAAGGATATTCCCAGACTTTTGTACAAAAAGGTGAATTGGGTATAATCCATAATATACAAGAGTTCTGACTAATTGTTTTGATAATAATTTATATAAAAATATAAATACTAATCTAGATATTGATTTATAATCTCTATTTAGCTATCTATTTGAGGATAATATACTATAAAAAGTTTCAACTTAATATTTAAGATTTGGGCGAATTCTTTTAAAAAAGAGATATGAATTGGGGGCCTTTATTAGAGATTATAGTCTTTAGAGCACTCTTTTATTGATAGATATTATTTAAATATATTATTGTTATATCTCTGGCGTTAGTAGTCTTATAGTATAATATAGAAATGGATTGTTTTGATAATCTGTTTACTATTACGAAGACATTGTTATAATCAAACTTATTAATAGGAAATGTTTTGAAATCCATAGATATATCTGTCTAAGGTCTTGAGGGTATAGGTAATGGTTATAGAAATCCTGGTATCTTATTTCTAGGAGTATGGAAGTTATAATAAGTAATATAGTTGTTAATATATTGATTAATGAATTCTGATATTCCCTTCTAGAAATATCTTTTTCAAAGGATTAGCTTTATCTTGGTTTTCCCAGGATGTGCTGAAGAGATTTGGGTATGGGCTTCTTTTATGAGGCTAATATATAGATAGTTTATATTAGAAACAATAAGATGGTTTTTATATAAAAGGAGACCGTTTCTTATAGAATATCCTTTTTTCAAATATATTATTAAATTGCGTTCTATTTGTAAAAAAAGGTGATTTTAATTAACTATCAGAATTTTATCTATTAAATCCATATCTTCAATATCGATAATTAATAATTCTGCTACCTCCTCCTCCTTTATATTGAGTTTGTCGATAATCTTTTTATTAAAAACTATATCTAGCAAAAGGGTTTGAATATATTGTTTCGAGTATTTAAGCTTTTGATTTATAATATCTTATTTTCTATCATTCAAGATATCTGCAGGGATACGATGACTCTCACCTGTACGTGGTGTATCCTACGAACCTTCGATCGTGCGATCGGAGAGCTAAGTAGAGTCAGCTAGAGCCGGGTGGTAGTTGTACACTAATCGAAGATTATACTAGGAACAAAGATACACACAGCTGATTACTAAAGGATGATCGTAAAGATACTCGGAATAGAGAATTACCAACAAAACAAAAATGAAAACTATTCGATAATAAAAGGAAGATAAAAGCAAAATTGATATAGAACCATACCTTTACAAATCTATATAAAAAACAAAGCCAAAGTATATCGCGACAGAACATCTGCGAAGCAAAACTAGCTCTTGAAATAACAGATAATGAAGCTTCTATAATATAGCTGAGTCTGATTGAAGTCTATATTAGAAGCAGGGCCAATATCCTTAACTTAACGAACAAAAATCGATAGAATATCTCTGAAACATTAGTATGCAGAGTTTTCATAATCTAACAATATATACAATCTGCAAATATACTGGATCGGATATTTACAAATAATAAGAGGAGTAATAGAAAGTATATAAAGACTAAAACAATATCTACTAAAGCCGGCAGGAGCATATATAGAATAGAAGAAGAGACGTTTTTAGTACTTTATCTCCGAATACGCGGAAATAGTATGGTGGTGGAGGAGCTTCAGTATAGAAAGGATACTTTTAATAAGCTACACTCAATAATACTCGATTAATATTACAGCAACAAAGGATCTTAGGCAAAGGCCAATTCTACAATATATATATACAACACGCTTCTAGCACTTTACTTTCGACTACAAACTATACATTAGGGGAATGGATTTTACAAGCAAAACTTTGATTAGTAGATTAAAAACATTATAGAAGGATTGCCTGGCTAGGGATCTGAAATAACAAGCCTACAAGATATAGTCGGTTTTGTTGTATAAA